AAAAATATAATTTAGATCTAAAAGTTCAATCTAGAGGTTTAAATAAAGGATATGTTATTATTATAAATGTATATTCTATTAGAATATGATCTAAATTAATAAAACCTTATATGTTAGAATCTATGTTATATAAATTAGGTAAATAAAAATAATAAATTATAGTTGAAAAAAAAAAATTTTTTTTTTAAGCTACACTATTGAAAACGATTAAAGAAATAGCTTTAATTTCAAGATCGTCGATTTTATTATAAATCGCTACAGACTGGTTCAATAGTGGGTACCTGAAATGGTGCTTAATGTACAGTCGAAACCTTTATCTAAAAATTTAAATGGATACTAAGGCTTTATATAAGATCTATATTAGACAGTAAAGTACAGGGAAATAAAAAATAAAGCAAATTAACAATATTTTTTTTATTTTTTAAGGTTTGGTAGGAGTTATGTCTTATTTATTAATAAATTTTTGATTTACTCGATTAGAAGCTAATAAAGCAGCTATGCTTGCTTTATTAATGAATAGAGTAGGTGATTGAACATTTAGTATGGGTATATATATAATAGTTTTATTATTTGGAACTTTAAATTTTGCTTCTATATTTTCTTTAGCTTATGCTATTGATGAAAATTATATAACTTTAATTTGTATACTTTTATTTATTGGTGCTATGGCTAAATCAGCTCAATTAGGTTTAAATACTTGATTACCACAAGCAATGGAGGGACCTACACCAGTATCAGCTTTATTACATGCGGCCACAATGGTAACAGCAGGTGTATATTTATTAATGAGAGCTTCACCTATATTTGAATATTCAGATACTGTATTAGCTATAGTTACATTAGTAGGATGTACAACAGCATTATTTGCAGCATCAATAGCATTAATGTTAAATGATGTAAAAAAAGTAATTGCATATTCAACAATGAGCCAATTAGGTTACACTTTTTTAGCTTGTGGTATTAGTGGTTATGATATAGCTATATTCCATATTGTAAATCACGGTTTCTTCGTTCGACAACATAGATATTGGAATCCTTTACTACGAATAAAATTTTTATTAAAAAAATCGTGAGCTGGTCCTAGCATGGGGAATTTACTTAAGGTGAATATATTGACGTATATATTTGCGAAGTTTAAGTATAGTTTGAGAGGGGAAAGATCAATGAAAATGAATTCTTGTCAAAACTGTATAATCGTGATTAATAATTTCTACTCTTTTGAAACGTCTACTCAGAAGAAAGTAGACGGTGGACCTCAAATAATGAGTAGATGCAGAATAGAGAAGATCTCATCCCCCTACCACTGTAGTTACAGTGGTCAAATCATTTCAATATTAAAGGTTGGTAAGCTCGGAAAGGTATTACGACATAAAATAGTAATACCTCTACTGTTTTTACCTATATTTTTGGGGATCGATTATATTATTTTATCGATACAGTGCGGGTGTAGGATTGGCTACCAAGCTAAAGCCTTAGGTAATGCTAAGGATAGGTTATTTTTAATCAATTCGAAAGAATGCCAAATTAGTCATAGTTCTTATAAAATTTATAATAAAAATATTAATAGAATACATCTGCGATCTTATTCTACACAAAATTATAATAATCTTAATAATTTAAATAATATAAAAATTTTTAAACAAGAATGTAAAGGTATATTTAAACTTAATAGCTCAGTACAAAATTTGATCAACTTGTTGATCAAATTTATACCTAGATGGGTATCTTTATTAGGTGATTCATATAAAACTATAAATTTTATTCGACATTATATTTATAAAAGAAGTTGAATATGGGCAATAAAAAAACATAAAATATCACATAAAAAAATTTATAATTTATATTTTAAACCAAATCAAAATAATTTTTCATTATTTTTACATAACAAGGATATAAAAAATTTATATGATATAAATTTTTTATATTTAGCTAAAGAAGACTTAATATTTATTAATATAAAAAAAGAATATGAAAATATTTTAAAAAAACTTAATAATTTAACAAATGGTATATATTTATTTTGGGTTTTAGATAATCCTTATAAAATTTATTTGGGATCAACTAAAAATTTAAAAAAAAGATTTTTAGAACATTATAAACTTAATAAAAAAACTTCTAATATAAAATTAATAAATTATGTAAAAAAACATGGTTGGTCTAAATTTGGTTTTGCTGTTTTAGAATTAGTAGAAGAAAAAGATTTATTAAATAGAGAACAATATTGGTTAAATAAATTATTTAATAATAAAAATTTTAAAGATAATACATTCAATATATTAAAATTTACTAAATTATTTTCAAAAGAAACGCCCAAAGGGGGGTTTCCGCCTTACGGCAGAAACTATAAATAAATAATCTTGTTTAACAAGATTAAATAGATCTAAAATTATTTTAATTTATGATAAGGATAAAAATTTTATTGAAGAAGTTTCAAGTTTTATTAATACTTTAAAAAAATATAATATTTCAAATAATAATATTTTGAAATATTATATAGATAATAATTATTTATATCAAGATAAATATTATTTTAAATATAAAAATAATAATAACAATATTTTTACAGATAGAATTATTAAAAAAAAATCTTCTAAAATAATTTTAGTTTATGATAAAGATAAAAATTTTTTTAAAGAATTTTCTACTATAACTCAAATTTATAAAGAATTAAATATTCAAAAATATTTAATTACAAAACATTAAAAAAATAATACATTATATAAAAATAAGTATTATTTTAAATATAAAGATAATAATAACAATATTTTTATAAATACTAAATTAAGTAAATTATTAAAACCTGTTATATTATATGATAATAATAAAGATATTATTAAATAATATAATAGTATTACTGAAGTTTCTAAAGAATTAAAAATATCTAAAGAAACGCCCGAAGGGGGGTTTCCGCCTTACGGCAGATACTATAAGAAAGTATATAAATAATAAAATTATATATAAAAATAAGTATTATTTTGATTTCTATATTAATAAAATTTAAAAAGAAGATTTAAAGTACATTATAAAAATTCTTTAACTACTAATAAACACCCTAAATTTTATAATTATATTAAAAATTATGATTGATCTAAATTAGGATTTAAAATAATAGAATTGGTTGACGACAAGTCAACAGTAATTGAACGTGAACAATATTGGTTAAATAAATTATTTAATTCTGAAGAATATAAAAAAATACTTTTAATCTTTTAAAAAATGTTAATAATTGGTTAGGTTATAAACATAATATTGAAAGTAAAATTTTTATGAGTAAAAAGAAAAAAAGTATAAAATTATCTGAAGAATATAAAAAAAAATATTAGTTTAGGTAAATTAGGAGATAAACATCATTACTTTGGTTAAAAAAGAGGTTTATTATCTATGAATACTAAGTTAAAAATGTCTTTAGCCTTAAAAAATCATTCTTCTTTAACAAAATCGAAAACAGAAGAAATGAAATCAAAATTATCTAAGGAAATAATTTTAACGGATAAAGATAATAATATTATTAAAAATTTTAAAGGTACTATAATAGCTATGAAAGAATTAAAAATTACTCATAAAAAATTAAAAGATTATTTAAATAATAATAAATTATATAAAAAACAATTTTATATCAAATATAAAATAAAATAGTTATTTTATGATAAATATTAATATTTTTAATAAATTATTTATAAGGATTGAGCCGTATGCAGGGGAACTTGCACGTACGGTTCTGATGAGGGGAAAACTACAAATAGTCTACCTATTCAAACAAAGCATTATTATTTATGTCTGCAGGGGCCGTACTTCATGCGTTAAATGATGAACAAAATACTAATAAAATGGGTGGTTTAATAAATATATTACCATTTACTTATACTGTAATGTTAATAGGTTCTTTAAGTTTAATGGCATTACCATTTTTAACAGGTTTTTATTCTAAAGATATGATATTAGAATTTAGTTATGGTCAATATTTATTAGGAGGTTCTATAGGTTATTGAATAGGAACAACAACAGCATTTTTAACAAGTGTTTATTCAATAAAAATATTAATTTTAACTTTTATGGGTAGACCAAATGGTCCTTTATCTAATTATAAATATTCTCATGAACCTAATCTTATAATGACTATACCTTTAATTTTTTTAGCTATATTAAGTATATTTTTTGGTTATATATTAAAAGATTTATTTATAGGTTTAGGTTCAGATTTTTGATTAAATAGTATTTTTATACATCCTAATCATTTTAAAATATCTGATATTGAATTTTCTTTACCTTTTATATTTAAACTTTTACCTCTTATATCTAGTTTATTCGGTGCATTTTCTGCTTATTTATTATATTTTTTTTTTCCTGCTTTTACTTCTGAAATATCTGTTAAATATTTTAAAAATATAATATCTCTTTTAGCTTCTGCTTATTGATTAGATTGAATTTATAATAAAATATTTATTTATTCCGCTTTTAATATTGCTCATCGATCTAATAAATTATTAGATCGTGGTATTATAGAAATTATTGGTCCATTTGGTCTTACTAATTTATTTTCTTTTAAAAGTTCTAATTTAGCTTCTTATGATTCTGGTATTATCCCTGATTATTCTGGTTATATATTAACTGGTATTATTGGTTTATTATTTTTAATTTTACTTCCTTTTAACTTTAAATTTATTTTATTTTTTTTACTTTCTATATTTTTTATTTAATTTACCCTTTATATTAACTTTTTTATATTTATATATTATTTATAATTAATTTATTATTTTTATTTGATTTTTTTTTTTTAAATTTTATTCTTTATATTAAATAAAATTTTCTTTCTTTAGAAATTATAATTCTTTTATAAGTATTAGTATTTTATTATATAATATATTTTATATAATTATTCCTATTTATAATAGATTTTTTATATAAATAATATATTATTTATATATTTATATATTTTATATTATTTTTATAAAATAATAAATATTTAATTAAAATTAATTAAATATTTATAATAAATATAAGGGGGAATAATTTAATTGGTAAAATATCAATCTTCAAAATTGATTTTAAGGGTTCAAATCCTTTTTCCCCTGTTATATATTTAATTAATTTTAAATTTATTACTTTATAAATTACATAATAATAGTAAAACTAGTTTTTTTTAATACATTATATATTTCTATAATAAAGAAAATAAAAAAAAATAATCAAATAATAAAAAAAAAAGTAATTTATATTTTTATATATTTGCAAATTTTATTTTATAAATAATTAAATATAAAATATTATAATATTTTATAAAGTATTTATATTAATAAACATTTAATTTATTTAATTAAAATATTAATAAAAAAATAAAATTTTTATTAATTAATAAAAATAGTAATAAAAAATTATTAAAATTTAATTAATGTTTATTAATAAAAAAAGAAATTTTTCTTACTAAAATTAACATGATTGAACGTTGATTATATTCTACAAATGCAAAAGATATTGGTACATTATATTTAATATTCTCTATATTTGCAGGATTAATAGGTACAATATTATCATATTTAATAAGATTAGAATTAATGGGAACAGGTGTTCAAATATTAGGAGGTGATCATCAATTATTTAATGGTGCGCCGTCTCATTTAGTAAGTCGTCGGTTTATAATCTTAAAGTTAGGTGCAAATACTTTATTGATTAATAACCTACCAGCATGGATATACCTAAAATTAGGTTGGTATAAAGCATCAGACTTAGGTAGTGAAGGCCAACTTCACACTGACAATAGCATGTCTGAGAAGGAATCTGAAAGAATGATTTCGAGCTACGTTCTATATGATGAGGCTAACGAATCCCTTCAACCGTTTATGCAGGTCAAAATTCCTGGAGAATCTTTCTCTCTGGTAATGGAGCAAAAGTTTTACGTTGAGGCCTTTGCTCAATATCCATCAACCAGACGGATTATAAGTAATAGTCTAAAGAACGGGGGACATCTAAGTAGAAAATTTAATGGCTTATTAAAGAATTCGGGAATACCCGACAATGGAAACATTTGGGGTATCGGAGGTTTCGTAGTAGGTCCTTATATTCAAGGACGAATGGCTCTTAAGAGCGGTTCTATACAGTTGGCTAAAAATGTTACAAAGGAAACTAGAGTTCTTTCTTCCAATAAAACTATCCCTGCGGGCGTAGAAAAATTGGAAAAATTGATTAAAGATAATTTAGCCAATAGAGGATTGATAAATAAAGATGTAACCAAATTGATGGCAGACATCGATATATTAATTTTGGCATACTCTAAAATCAAATCTAAACCGGGTAATATGACTCCTGGAAGCGATCAAGAAACACTAGACGGTCTAAACCGTTCGTGGTTCGAGAAACTCTCTAAAGATTTAAACACTGGAGCTTTCCAATTTAAACCTGCAAGGAGGGTGGAAATTCCCAAAACTAATGGGGGTTCGCGTCTTCTAGGCGTTGCATCACCAAGGGATAAAATTGTTCAGGAATCTATGAGATTGATACTTGAAGCCATTTATGAACCGGTATTTTCAATTCATTCACATGGATTTAGACCTAAAAGAAGCTGTCACACAGCACTTAAGGAAATAAAAAATACGTTTACTGCCGTAAACTGGTTTGTAGAGGGTGATATTAGTAAATGTTTTGATAGTTTCGATCACAAACTTTTAATTCAAACAGTGAATAAGAGAATAGTCGATAGAGCTTTTATAGATTTGTTACATAAAGCCTTAAAAGCTGGATACATATACCAGCAAAAATATTTTTCATCTGAAATAGGTACTCCTCAAGGATCGATAATAAGTCCTATACTGTGTAATGTATTAATGCATGAGTTTGATAGATGGATGGAAAGCCAAATGGATAACTTTAACATCGGTAAAAGACGTAAATTAGATCCGGAATACCGAAAATTAATGAGAAATGGGCGTCTTAGAGAAGCTCATTTAACTGGTATTCAATCTCGACTAGCTAAAGATACCGAATATAAAAGAATGAGATATGTAAGATATGCTGATGATTTTATTATTGGAATATTAGGTTCTAAAGTGGATAGTATTCAGATAAGAGATGCGGCAAACAAATTTTTAGCTGAAAAACTTAAACTTGAACTTAATCTTGATAAGACCAAAATTACTCATGCTACTAGAGAATTTGCTTTATTCTTAGGTACTCAAATTCGTATCACTCCTCAAAATAAAAAACCTTATAGACAGGTTACAAGAGGGGATCAAGAATACCTTATGTTATCTAATACCTCAGTACAACTTATAGTACCTGTCGGTAGAATAGTCGAAAGACTTACTAAAAGGAATATTTGTAAAAAAGGAGGGAAACCTACTCGATGGACTAAAATGATACCTTTTGACGATAGTCACATTGTAAGATTAATGTGGCAAATATGGTGAGGAGTATCTACCTATTATTCATTTGTAAGTAATTATAAAGATATTAGTAGAATTCATTATATTTTGAAATACTCTTGTATGCTTACATTAGTATCCAAACACAAACTTGGAACACTAAAAAGAGGATTCAAGAAATTTGGAAAAGGTATCGTTATAAGGAATAAAGAGGGTAAAATTTTAGCTAGTTTTCCTGATGTATCTTTTGTAGCTCCAAAAAAATTCTATATAACACATGAAGATCCAATCAAGAGATTGGATAGAATGACTAGAGCTTACTTTCGTACTGCGAAAATAATGGACAGTGAATGTACTATATGTGGAGCTACAGAAAATTTGGAGATGCATCACGTTAAACATATTAGAAAGACTACGGATAAGATTAAAAAGGATTATTGGACTAGAATTATGTCTTCAATGAACAGAAAACAAATTCCGGTTTGTCGATCTTGTCATAACTTAATTCATAGAGGTAAATATGATCAAATAGCACTTAAGGATATTACCAAAATGAGTTAAGAATTAATTTTCATTCCTCTATATATCTTATTAATATAAAGAACTGTGAGAGCCGTATGATGGGAAACTATCACGTACGGTTTGGGAAAAGGCTTCTGACTCTAAAACATAAAATACCGTAAAGTTGAATGTCAAGAGTTGGTCGACCTACTTTACTTATTGTAACTGCTCATGCTTTTATAATGATATTTTTTATGATTATGCCTGGTTTAATTGGAGGATTTGGTAACTATTTAGTTCCAGTTATGATTGGTGCTGTCGATATGGCATTTCCTCGACTTAATAATATATCATTTTGATTATTACCTCCCTCATTAATCTTATTATTATCTTCTGCATTTGTTGAAAATGGAGCTGGAACGGGTTGAGTGCGCAATCTAATTATTGAAGATTTTGAGTGTATATACTCTATTTTAATTTTTTCAAGTAATAATTTAATATTATGAGAAAATAATTATAATTCATCAAATTATGGTAAAAAATTTATTACAAAGCAAGAAAAAGATATAATTAAACTAACTAATTTTAATAAAAGTATATTAGTTGGTATTATTTTATCTGATGGTTATATTGAAAAAAATAAGAAATGAAATCCTAGAATTAGAATAGAACAATCTTTAAAAAATTTTGAATATATTTGATTTGTTTTTAATAAATTATCAATTTTAAATAATTCTTATCCTTTATTAATAAAAAGATTATTTAAAAATAAAATATTTTATAGTTTAGCTTTTAGAACTAGACAATTAAAATGTCTTAATGAAATATATTATTTATTTTATGATAAAAAAATAAATAAAAAAATTATTAAACCTGAATTATTTGATTATATGAATAATGTAACATTAGCTTATTGAATAATGGGTGATGGTTGTAAATATGGTAAAGGTATTATTTTATGTACTGATTCATATACTTTAAAAGAAATTATTCTTTTAATGAATATATTAAAAATAAAATTTGATGTAGATTCTACTATTCAATTTAGATATTCTATTAATCCTAATGATAGAAAAACTAAATTAAATAATGGAAAAAAAATAGCGAGAATTGTTATTAATAAATATAATTTTCTTAAAATTAAACAAAAAATTAAACCATTTTTTACTAATGATTTTTTATATAAATTATAATTATATATCATAATATATTTTATAACTATAAAATATAAAATATTAGACTTAGGTAATTAAGGCCAACTTAATACTAACAATAGCATGTCTAAAAAGGGAATTTGGTATTATATAATACGTGGTCATTCCCGAATTATGATTCTTATGGTAAGGAAAACGAACTCTAAGTAAATATATACATATATGAATTTTATTTTCAACCTAATAAAATTAGAAAAAATCATATTTATATTTATTGAGTACCTAAAAGAATATATATGAATCTTCAATAAGAATTTTGGATTATCTGATGAATTTTTATTCAGGAGATAACGGAATTTTCATAGTACCGATAAATGATCTAATTCATCATTTGGGAAGGAAAATAGGAAATATTAAAAATATTTCTGGAAAGCCGTATGATGGGAAACTATCACGTACGGTTTGGGAAAGGCTTTTTATACTAACGGAATAATTTATACATTGTTCTGGAGTTAATCTGCTATTTCACACAGTTTACCCTCCATTATCAAGTATACAATCACATTCTGGTGGATCAGTAGATTTAGCTATTTTTAGTTTACATTTATCAGGTGTATCTAGTACACTAGGTGCTATAAATTTTATTACAACTATAATAAATATGAGAAGTCCTGGTTTAGGATGACATAAATTACCATTATTTGTATGATCTATTTTTATAGTATCTTTTTTATTAGTTTTTGCATTACCAGTACTTGCCGGTAAATTTATACTGCCGGCTTTAAATTCAGCTATATTCTGAGAACTATTAGATTTTTTTAATTTAAATCTAACACAATCAGTAGGAAACCCTTTAAATTTAAATTTAAGGGGGATCCTCAGAGACTACACGCTGAAATTAATCTGTTGTAAAATTTTACCTTTAACTCAAATAAAAACAAATAAGAATATAATTTATAAAGATTTATCTGATTTAAAAATTAGTTCTTATTTAGCTGGTTTAATAGAAGGAAATGGTACAATAATAGTTCCAAAAACTGAAAGATCTATTAAAGGAAAATT